AGGCAAATTGTTACACTTTACTATCAAAAAGTCGACGATCATATAGATGTCGATCACTAAAATTTTATAATAAAAAACTTATTCCCGTGATCTGCGTGACAAATCGTGTGACTGATATAGTAAAACCCTCAAAATAAATGCAATACCTTAGTTTTCTATCACAGTCCCCAGAAAATTTTTTTTTTATTCTTAGCAGTGCCAACGCCATATTTATAGCATACCCAAAAATTATAGTCACAATCCAAGATACATTTTTCAATAGAGTTACCACCTTTAGTGGATTTTAAATGCCACCCAGTGCCTTTTTTATACTTAGTGCACAAACCATTCTGTAGTAAAACACAAGCTATGTTGTCTATTAAGATTGCTTTCTTTAGCATGTTGATAACGATATCAAAAACTATATTTTCCAACAAAATTACCATCTTTAGCAGATTTTAAATAACATTCAAATGCCTTCTTTATATTTTTTTTTGGTGCCACTCTCATAATAGATTCTGTGATTCAATTTTCCATCAGCAACTAGTACTGTATTTTTGATTGCTTAAGTTTGAAGTTAGATCGCAATATATACAGAAAAAAAATAAACTCTGTAAGTGACAGAAGCAAGTAACTTTACCTTAAGTTTATTCTAACACCAAACAAGTTTGTTGATCTCGCGTATTTGGTTGAAGTAAATAAAAGCAATAGAAGGATTATTATAAGATCACCAACTCACCAATTCACCAACTCACCAATTCACCAACTCACTGTTTCACCAACTCACCATTTCACCAACTTACCATTTCACCAACTCACCATTTCACCAACTCACCAATTCACCATTTCACCAATTCACTATTTCACCAATTCACCAATTTCACCAATTTCACTATTTCACCAAAGGTTTATTTTGATGTAATTCTGGTGAAACTATTTCACCATTTCACCTAGTGAAATGGTCTAATTTCACCAGCATCTATAGGTTTGCCATCAAATAATATTTTTCCAGTTGTTATTTTGATTCCAAACTGTAGATATAATATCTGAAGTCTGTGTTAACGGGTTTCTCTATAAAGCTTCTGGTGCTACATACAGCATGATACCATAAAATTATATTTTTGTTTATTGATATTGTTAGTTCTTGATCAATGATATAGACCGGGGTAAAATCGCCACCCAAAAAAATTTCGAAAATTATGTGGTATTGTCAATTCATCATGATTAGGATCATGA